CCGGACACGGCTCAGCCACGTACGGCTAGGCGTGGGAGGGAGCCAAAACTCCCCCATTAGCTCGGGTCCGTGGTGTCGCTACACACCAAACGCCTGCTTGCGCAGGCGCCTCTGCGGGGCCTCAGGCTAGCTGGTTGTTCGGTTTTTGTTTATTATTTATATGACTGAGAAGAAATTATTAATTATACTCAAAATTTGAAATGTATGGGTATTACTGCATTACCTGTAGAACCATCTCCAATACTCAAGATCAGGGTGCGTTGAATAGTTATTTTTTTTCATCGTACTGTAGCGGGACTGAAACAGAGCAATCATCAAGAAAGACTGTAGTCCCGACCTTTTCTAATAAGAAACAGCCTGCTCATTTTACATATACTACCGATGGTGTAAGTCCAGTAGGAGTCATGCAATTTAAATACATTGGTGTAATTCTCCCATCAAATTTAAAATGGCATACGCACATCGAAACAATCTGCAACAAGCTCTCCGAAGACTTTGGTGTCTCCTGCGCACGTTAAGCAACACGACAAAAGGATGCTGACCGACAGCGCCTAAGACTGTGGTCACACTTGAATATACAGCCGAACCCGGGTATATCGAACTCGCCAAAAAATGTTTATTAGTTCGATATATGGCATAATTCGATATAGGCCCTGTATAGGTTTTGACACAAAGGCACATAACAAACTAGAAGAAAAGTACTTTATTAATATGTTGGCTTACTTGTGTGCCCTACTGTGGAATAAAATAGTCCCGGATTTTTTTCTGTGTCAACGACTTCGCTGCCTGCGACAGCACGCACGCCTCCACGTTGTCCAACGAGTCTGAGCAGCTGAGGCCGCAACCTTCCAGATTTAAGCAATAGCGCCGGACCAACGCAAGTGCACTAATCACTTCGAAGGATGTAGGCAATGGGTCGTCGTTGATTTCCATATTGCTGTCGCTTTGGCTCGTGGTCGGCACGACGTCTGCAATGTAATCCTCATCCTGTAATTGGCCCATGATGGGGACATCATCGTCCGCACTGACGAACTCGTCAAATGTCGATCCGTCGATAGCACCCGGGAACTCTGCCAGCTCGTTCCAAACTGCGGCGGAAACACCTGCGGTGTCTTCAGTGCTGTCAGAATTTGGGGTGTCATCACCAGGCATGCAGAAGCCGGCATGCCTTAAGCAGTTCTGGATCGTCTCCTTCTTGACATCTGCCCACGATCTACTCAACATAGAAATAGCTCCGAGCAAATCGATCTTAAGCTCCCTGCCGACACGAAGTTTCTGCACAAGCCTCTCCACCAGGCGCTTCCGATAGCCGGCTTTCATTGCGCGTATAACGCCTTGATCCAGTGGTTGCAGTACAGACGTAGCGTTCGGGGGCAAAAAACGCAGCTCGATGTTGCTGAAGGTCGTACTGCCGAGGTGCGATGAACAATTGTCCACGAGCAGGCACACCTTGCGATTTTCACTTACCAAATCATCATTCCACGACGATAGCCATCTGCTGAAAAGCTCCCCGGTCATCCACGCTTTTGAGTTTGCTCGGTAGGTAACTGGAAGCGACAGCGCATTTTGAAAACACTGCGGTGCCGTGCTTTTCCCGATAACCAGAGGTCGAAGCTTTTTCGATCCGTCTAAATTAGCTGCCAACAGTACGGACACACGAGCTTTGTTTGCCTTGCCGCCGCTTGTCTTGTGGCCATGACATGCAAGTGTCTTGTTTGGCATCATTTGCCAAAATAGAGCGGTTTTATCCGCATTGAAGATATCTTGGGCTCTATATCTTGCTGCGATATCTCGCCAGTTTTCCTCGAGCCATTTTTCTACGCTGTCCAGGTCCACCGCTCTGCTTTCCTGTAACAGATTTGCCAACGATGTCATGCTGTTCTTTGAACCGCTGATGCCAGCCTGAACCGCCTTGGAAATCATTCCTGCCAAGCAGAAAAGCAAGGTTCTTGGCTTTCTGCTCGATCATAGGGCCGGACAAAGGAATTTTTCGCGACCGAACGTCCACAAACCACTTGTAAACAGCCGCTTCAACATCTTCGTACACAGCAGCGCGCACACGTCGGGCGCTACAGGCACCTGGCCTTTTGTCCGACTCGGCTTTGATGTCTGCCTTGTTCTTCAGGATAGTACTCAAGGTGCTCCTTGGAATTTTGTACGCGGCGGCAACGTCGGACTTCTTTTCATCGCGCTCAACCCGATTGATGATTTCGAGTTTCGCAGCGAACGGCAAATCTTGCCTCTTTGCGCAAGCCATGATGACAGCGCGCTAATATAGTTCACAGAGCACCAACAGGCAACACCACAGACCACGCTGAATCGGCAGCAGCAGGCACACAAGCATAAAGAGAGAAAAAATGGCGCTCACTTCTACCGCCTCCGCGCCTCGGAAAAAGCACGACGGCCTCTGATTGGCTGTAAGCGATGAGAGCGGGCCAGGATCAATTCTTGGAGGGGGGTGTTCGCCCGCGCACACCGGGTCTAACCAACTTTTTCTAGGGTAGCGCCGGCAGTTTGCCCCGCCACCACGAGGGAAAGCCAACTTGCTGGGGCACTTTTGAGGCACATGGAGTTTGATATATCGGCTGTCGTTGCTATTTTCGTTCGATAAAACAGTAACTTTTGCTATATATTCTCAATGTAAACTTACCGTGTTTAGGAATTGTTCGATATACAGGATAATTTGATATAAACGGGTTCGATATAGTCGAGCTCGACTGTACAATGGTTGTTTGATCACCTCACTACAAACATGACATAACTATTTTATAATCTCTTTTAAAAAAAAGCAATACTGCTTATATTTCATCGCTATAACCAACATGTCTCGCCTGCTTTGCATCCGCATGTTTTATCGCGACAGCTTCTTTCGAACATCGTCGCTTTTGCGATCGTGTCATCTTTTTCTGCATGATAGTTCACATCGCTTCAAATGTTTTAGCACCCATATCATCTGCGCACGGTGATTTGATCCTCTAAATATTGTGCCGTTAGATCAACTTAGAATTGTTTTCATTTTCTTTTGTTAGTTTTTTGCTTTTCTGCAGAACGAGCGTCTTTCCTGTCAAGTGCTTTTCCTTCTACCTTGTGCGCTCATATATTTTCACAAAAGTCAATCCTTTCTCTTAACACACAGCCAAAGCTGCCAAAAAAGCAACCTGAGAACATAACTGGGTGTTTGCAATTTTTGCATATTGCCACATTCCCTCCTCAAGTTTTGTTATCGCCCCCTTTCACTGTCAGTAATTCTCAGTGCAAACCGTGCCTGCAGTGTTTGAGAAGCTTCGGGACTGCAGTAGATCATTTTGTGGAACTTATGCCCACTTCACGAACAGTACAGATTATTCTGGAACCTATATGGCTGCTAGCGATAACGCTAGAATATTCGATGGCACGTGTATAAATACCGACACGCTTCACCGCTTCTCAGTTCATCTTCGGCCAACGCTCTGCCCGCCCCTATCAGTTCCAGTGTCTTGCTGTAATGCGACTTTTCTTTTACGTGGCCACAAGTTGGGTCTCAAATAAAGAGTTAATTTTCGACCTGCAGGCTACTCCCTTCGTCCACGTCACGACCCTGTGACAATATACTAACACTATTATGTTATTCAGCATATACTCATTTTTGGAATCTTTCCTTACATACAGTTTTCCTTGGCACAATTGCCTAACCTGCTGTCTAGCTTGCAGGCACTCATCATGTACAGCACAACACGTTTTCTTTCTTTTATTCTCTTTTTTCCTTCTTTCTTCTCGCAGCCTCATAGGGTTACATTGAACACTGAAGGCGTGATGGCTAGACTAACACTGAGTCGAACACTTAAGCCAACAGGAATGACCCACTCGTCTTTTGCCGAGTTAATAAAGTTTAGTGGAGCCGTATTCGACAAGCTTTAGAAATGAAGTGAAACAGCTAGTTTTTCTTTTTCAGAGATGGTGCCACCGTCAAACACATTCGCGAGATTTATTATTCATTAAAATCCTTTTTTTCCAAGCACTGTCTTGTAAGTTAGTGAGTACTGGTAATTACAAGACACTACTACTATATGGCCTTGCTTATGAGCAATACTTGTGGTGAGTTACCATGTAAAAGAAAAGTCAATTTGCACAAACCTGGCCAGCGGAAAAGTGGGTTAAATAGTATGTTGTCCTGTAAGTTTTTGATCAAAATAAGAATTTCCTATTCACAGGATCCTCGAGAAGAGCTTTCTGCTTTAATACAGACGATTTTACAGTTTCAGCATGAATAGTTTTGCGCCTTTATCGCTGATTCATGGTGAAAAAGAGCCATAAATTGCCGAACTGGAGTGATAATAAATCGTGAACTGTTCATCCGAATAGACAACAACTTCCAAGTACATTGTAGCCTGCAAGCCCAATAAATTGCTGCTCTACATTAAAAAGAGAAGTTGTTTACTCATAAACTTTGTGTTAACAATTTTCATTGTAGCCTGCATCAATGTGTAATAGCTTTATATGCAATATATTTTCATAGAAACATTGCATAATGCTCCATTAAAATGTAGAGTGAATTTTATTTCGTTATGTAGAACAGTTTTCCTGTACTTGCCCTACAACAAGGCTTGTGTACCAAATATGGAGTTTTTTCTCATGTTCTTTCTATTGCCATTAAAAAACAACGCTTCAGGCTAGGCAATAATACCATTTGTCACGAGAACGTAGAGAACGTAAGCTATATAATGCAATGCAATTCACATAAACCCGATGAACGCAGCAAGTGCAGTGTGTCCACAAACAATGACTAAAATGCAGAGCAGGGGCCCCTGGAGCGGGACTGCCACCTTGAGCAAAAACAAGCTGTTCTTTCGCAGAAAAAGGCAAAGGCTGAGACATCGGAATAGGTCGAAGTGCAGCTTTGAGCCACCAAAGTGAGGACGAAACGGAAATGTTGATGATAGTGCAAAGGTGGGTGGTGTGCCATTAATAAACGATTGCCTGCAACACGAGGCCCCTCTGGAAAGAGCAACCACAAGACTCACCGCAGATGGCCGTCTTCCAGCGATCGACGGGGCTGAACTCACAGCTGACTGGGCGTCCCGCGTACCATCGACCATTGAGCATGGTCAGTGCCTGCTGGGCCTCCTCCTCACTGCATCACAACCATTCACTCATCGTTAATAACAACACTCGCGCAAATAGTTTCTTCTTGGTACTAGTGAGGCACTAAAGAGAAGGGAGGCAACTCCACATATCACCCGGCCATCGAGCGCTTCTTCCAGCCTGTCACTGCACTAATCAGGCTGCAATCATTGCGGGACATGCAGTCACACTCATTATGTAGCCAGCCAATGCCTCCCCCCCCCCCCTTTTTTTAAATGTTGAAACAATCACTGAAGCATAACCACGAGTGGCCAGCATTTGTCTCGAGTTTGTCACCCGAGTGCCTTTTCCCAACAACACAAGCACACTGGTTTGCGCAAAGGCCTGTCGAAAGTCACGGTGTTGTTAAAACGGGCCAATTCAAACTGTGAAAGTTCAGTGACTTAACTAAACACTAGAAAGTGCTAGGTGCACGAAAAACAATTTCAAAGTGGCAGAATGTACGATTCAAAACATCAATAACCGGTGATCGTCTTGAATAGACATGATAACAAGAAAGTTCATGAAAAACACCAACCGAGGGTGCCTGTCCTTGATTTTGCCTTCATCAAGCACACTGCATGTCATTAAGCCTAGAAGAATTACCACATGAGTTGTGATCAGAGAACTGAGGGATCCACAAACCTGGAATATTGGACGTAAACATTCCCGCGGAGATGTGGCTCAATGTTTCGACACACACGCACTTGGCAGACAGTGCCAGCACGGCGCAGTTCTTGGAGCACGTCCCAAAAGAAGGCCTCAAAATGCGCCTGCAGCTCACGTTCATCTGTCTCGAGGCTGTCGTCACTGTGGAGCTGCTCCAGGGAAAGGTGGCTGTACAGGCCCCGCAGGAGCAACGTGCGGCTTACAGCAGGACGAGGGTGCGACCGTGAGCACCTGCACTCCCACACAGCAAAGACAAAAGAGACTCAAAGAGGGTTCCCTGCTCTCCTGTCGGTTGGACAAGTCAGAGCCATAGTTTTTTAGCTCGGAATCCATTGCTTTGAAAGAGTGCACCACTGTATGATGATACAGAGTGACCAGAGAAAAGGAGTGGACATTTTTGGAGCTAAAGCGAAAGAACAAAAATGCACTAGAGCAGCACAAGGCCACTTCTACCTTCTTCATTCAAAACTAGTTCATTATGTTCAATATAACGAGCAAACATGTTTACAGTGTAAAAAAATTAGCACAGCTTGCATAAAGTCGAGCAAGGCTGGCTACTGGGCTTTTACCTCCCTCATTGCTATACATGGCTACGCTCTCTCCTTTCTTTCCCCCCCCCCCTTTTTTTCTCTTTGCTTCAATCTATTTCTCTGTCGTATTATTTTTTTATTATCACTTTCCTCCCTTTCCCTCCCTTTTTTATATAATAACTCTCTCACGCTTTTTTCTTCGCTTTCCGTCTCCTCCTTTCTCCTTATTGCTTTTTCTTCCCCTCTCTCTCTGCAGTCATTTTTTTTTTTACCTTCTATTCTCCTGCCTTTCTTTTTTTTTTTCTGTTCATCTCTTCAGGCAGGGTCTCGTGCGCTGTGTAGTGCACAAGACGATTCCTGCACTGCACAGAAGTGATGTCACCTTAATATAGAAGCCTTCAAGCTACTAAAATAGAGATTATTACATCATAATGCACTAAACCTATAAAAATACTAAACAAAAAGTGACTGATAAACTAGTTCATCACAGTTTGTTCATTAACAACAGATCGCAAGCACCTTAAACCCAGAAGGTAACAATGGCAAAGATGGCAGCTGGGAGATCATCCATGAACAGTATCTCACTATGATGCTTGGAATGTTCCTGTTGGAAGCACTGAATTTCCTAGATTGTAATGTCAAAACGTGATGTTGTCGAAGGTGAGCATGTCCTTACTGTCAAGACGGACATAGTCAATGGTGAAACAAATGTTGTAGCACAGTCCGTGTTTCGTGTGCACTAAAAATCCCAGTGAGGCTGCAAAGGATTTTTACTAAACCTGTAATCTCCAATGACCAATGCAGCTGCACTGCAAGTTTTTTTACGCAAAGTGCGAACACGTATTATCCATTCTCATCAGTCTAGGTAAATGCTGCTGCACTGTCTTAGGCAAACTGTTTGTTACTGTTTAATAGGTAGGTGGGCTAATGCAGCCGGCAGTTGCCCTTGGCCATTGTTTATCAAGATATGATTGTCTAAGCAAAGGTTGGCAACTTTTGGCCCGCTTGGCAGTGCTATGCCGCCCCCGGCACAGCGCCAAAACCTTTCCGCGAGAGAAGGAGATGGAGATGTGAAAAAGAGCCTACAAAGAGAGCAATAAACTGTTTCAGATGGTCTTAAGTAAATTCGAGGATCCATGCATTCAGAGAAGGCAGAGCATTGAGCGTTATCTAACCTCTTACGAGAAGGTTTTGCACAGGACAAGAGCTCGACGAAAACTATTGGTGTATTGCTTTATTGAGTGTTCTTCCGTGTGACTTGCTTAGTAGGATAGGGTGCCTTTCAAAGAAGAATTTCAATGAGTACAAAGTAGCTAAGACAGCTTTACTGCGGTGCTTCGGCATCAGAGTTACGAGAAAGCAAAAAGAGAATGAGAAGTTGACAAACACTTCCGTGAAGAATGCGCAACAGGGCGCTAGTAGTGAAACCAAGCTTGAGAGAGGTGTGTGTGTCACCGATAGCACCAAGGTGGAGTGTGAGTGAAAAAGGAATAGAGAGAAACGGGAGGAAAATGGAGAAGAGCGTGAGCGAGCACTGGACCAAGAGGTTGAAATGCTGCAACGTAAAGTTGAGACAATGCAACGGAAGATTCGGCCATCCGTAAGTGTAGCACACGAGAAGTGCGAGCAAGAAATGAATGAGATACAGTTCAGAGCCGTACAGATAGCTAGCACATGTGGAAATAGCAACAGGTTCAAGGATGAACCGAGTTCGAGAACTGTGAAAGATGCTGTGCTAATAAGAAAGGCCACTAAAGGACAGAGCGAGTGCGACGAGGTGCTGTGCCAGCGAAATGCTAGCGAAACAGCTAGAACAACTGTAGACAATCTGGCATAGACTTCAAGTGAGGTTGTCATGACAGTGGATCTTGCAAACGACGTCGAAGTAGTCAACAACAATGAAGAAAGCTCAGGAGAAGCAGTGAATGCAGAAAGTGAGAAAAACAGTGCGGTTGAATGAGCTCCCAGGTGTGCAAGCGAGATTGTTTGAAGAGAAACAGCTGCATTTTTCCTAAGTGTGTTAAGCAGTCTGCCAGTCCGGCGAGTGAAATCGAAGATTATTTTTCGAAAATCATTTAGCAGACAAAAGCAGTGACAGGGTTGACGACCGTGAGATGCGTGTGGGAAGCTCGGAAATGAGCCGCAAGAAACGACGTAGAGGAAAGAGACATTAGAGAGCCACGAATGAGACCGACAGCACTACACGTGTTAAGAAAGGCTCGACACATTTGAGCGTAGCGTGCAGAACTAGGTATTTTGTGTTGGCATCGAAGTTGCTTCGCATGCATCCAAGCTACCAGATGAAAAGAAAATGGAAAATGGGTTGTTCGCGAATGCAATCACGTGGAAGGTGTCAGTTTCATGGGGCATGCGTGCACAAGATTAGCGGAGGTGTATTGGCCCAACAAGGCAACAGAGCTAAGAAATCGAATTGCCGAAATGGTAGACAGGTATAAGATGAAGAATGTGACACAGAAATTTCTTAAAAGCATGCTTGTTTATTTTTGTTTTTAACTAATCTTCCGCAGCTAGTTTGTTTAGCTACACAGTTTTCCCCTTGTAGGTTTTTTTTAAAGCATCGTAGGCATTTTCAGTTAAGTTGTTCAGCATTATGCGGAAGCAGTGACCAGCATCAGTCAGCCGACTGCGTGAAACGAGTTTTCTTTTATATAAATGCACATTAGTCGTGGATGAAGGTTTGTACGGCCGCTAATTTTAAAAGCCTGGTAGCGTAAGTCAATCAGTGCCGAAGTTTGCGTGCTTCATGCCTTTATGTGTAGCGCGAAGTTGTATACCATCATAAAGGGACACTAAAATCAAATAACACTTTACGTTAGCGTGAAAGCTCAATGTATGACAACATCTAAAATGAGAATATTAGCAACAGCAGTGCTCTACTTAACAAGAATTAGGGTAAATGCACAAGAATAAATGCGCCGCAGTAGGACATTCTCAAAGTGACACCGATGACATCAGACGAACCAGCTACAATTAATCACTAGTAATCGATCTTGCTGCACTAAATAAAGAACCTTCCATGCATCAAGAGACACAATGCTGCTTGTTCGTTTATGTTTGATTGATAGAAAAAAGAACCGCCGGACGTTACTAAGGGAAATGGCATGAGTGGTTCAAAAATTCAATTTTCGCGTGGTTAAACTGTACAGGTCGTGCCATCTAGCAGGGCATAGTTGAACCAGAACACGTCTGCCATCTCGGAGCCAATGGCAGGAACTTCATCAATGGTTGTTGTTGCTGCTGTGGCTCCTACTGCACTACTAGTGTTCAGGACTGTGCAGTAAAGCTCAGCAACATTGTGCACAGCAACAATGACATGCATCAGTCTGCTTCTTGAGGCGGGTAATTTAAAGTGTTCTACGCCGATAGGGGCCACTAAAGCATGATTTTATTTCAAAATAAGCCCTTTCTTTGCACAAAAGTAACACTTCTGGACAGCTATTTCAACAATAAGCGTTGACTTAATAGTTGCCTTTAGTGTACCTTTAAGGAGGTAAATGAGACTTTAAGGGAGGTTTTAGAATAAAACTAAAAGTGATTTTCGAAATTCTTATATGAGTCTTGTGTTCGCTACTGTTGACAGCAGCTGAAAGCCACCAAGACGCATTGGGCCTTCCGTGTACCTAAGACTGGGATGGATGGTAAACATTATTCCGCCAGAAGGCAACTGCGGACAATTCTGTGTTGAATGGCCATCAGCCCAATACTGACGTCGTACGCTAACCTTTTTGCAGGCTCCTACTGAGTAAAGAATGCTACCGCTACGCCCGCAATGCCCACAAGCTTTGCATATGGTATTCTAATTCTAGACTATTTGCTTACGCCTTTTGTGTCTCAAATAAATCTTGCCTTGTGTTGAACTTGAGATTCGCAATTTGCGGCCACTTCGTTTTCTTTACAGCTCTGTACGTTTTCCCGAAAAGTTTTCCCCGCGCAATTGACCATTTGCAGGAAAACTACTGCGCATGAGCAGTAACAGCACAGGTAGCGCCCTCTACAGGCGTTTTGTTTAGTTTTGGTTGGAAAACATCAGCCCGCCCGGCCGCTGGTCATACATTCATGTTCAGTGGTTGGGCGACCTTGCTTTCCTAGTTGGGGCAAATATGCCAGCACACTGCACAAATTATTTTACTAAGATAGAAGCATGAAGAGCTGTTCCTGATAGTTGATGCTTACGTGCGAAAAAAGCCTACGAGAACTACCGGTGACTGTGTATGATTGGTTGTGCCTTCATCGTCGTTCTTTGAGTTTTCGCTGGTTTTTCTCGCAGCCAAACCGAGAAATGAGTGCTAACTTTGCTAGGCTCTCGTCCGCGAGGCTACGTGCTGAAAAAAGATGTTTGAATAGAGGCATGTGAAACATTGGCGAGCGGCCAGAATCAACCACCCGCAACGAAAAATCAGCATCCAACATTATCAAAGAGCAAGCAGCAACCGCCAGCAGCAAACAGCAGGCGTCTACAGGCCAGCTCGTCACGGGAGGCACAACGGGATGGAGCTCCAACCCAAACCAGGTACCACCTCCGGGCACCTTGCGGCTCTATTCGCCGTGTCTGTGCAAAGTGACATACTGGCTGTGCGAGTGGGCAAACACCGTCCGTTTCAGATGAACTAGGCCATAGAACGGGTCCAAATTTTCTTAAACTTAGAAAAGTTGTTGACAAAAGAATACGGCATGAACTTC